TTTCCATAGAAAAAATTTAATTTTTATAGTTTGAAATTTGATTTTAATTTTGTGTAGCTTAATAAATAAGTAATTGCTACCTAAGCCTTTGATTAACTAGATCACTACATTCTGATTAAAAAATTGCCTGAGGATATGGTATCAGTACTACCTACCTTGGCGAATTTTATCAAATCTTATCTTGTGGACAGATCGCATTTTGTGCCCTATAATAGCAATGATTCTAAATATTTCGCCCAGGCCTCAGCTATTCCATAAGGGTCCACCGTAGATCCTTCCCTTTTTAAAACTCGTATTGGTACTGCGTTGAGTTCAGCTTGTTTGAACTATAAACTGTAGAGTCGAAAAAGTTGACCTTCAAAATGAAATATTACACCTGATCATGGAAATGAGATATGAAACCAAATAAAGTTGACCTTGAAGATGTAATGCGATGCCATAAAACAAGTGACCTTGAAAATTAAATATTACACTTGACATTGGAATCGAAATATGAGGGCAAGGAAGTTGACCTTGAAAATAATATCAGTACCACAACAGTCGGCCTTGAAAAAAAAATAAATGATGACTTTTTTTTTGGGTTGGATCCATCGTTCCTCGAAATGGGGGTTGAAATATATTGTGTGATCAAAACTCTCTAAACCTTCCCCATATAGTTTTTATTCGTTAAGTTTTTTAAAAATAACAGCGACTATAGTTTCGGCGTACTGCCATCATCAGACAACTAGAAGTTTATCACAATATAGCAAATTTGAAAACATTAAGAGCTAGTACTTACTGTAAAATTTAACAGGAAAACGGTAAGTTACAAACGTTGAAGACGAACATGTTGTTTTTAATTATTAACTGGCCGAAGCCAAATGAAACAACCTGAAGGGTGGTTAAACCGGAAAGGTTGTCCTAAGTTTCAAAACGAATTATTATCAGGCCTTGTTAAGACAACCAACTGGAGGGTTGAATTATTACATTAAAAGTTGAAAGTTGAATTTAACGTATAAACAGACAAAGTTTTAGATTTAAAAAATAAATTATCTAAAGGGTACTTACACATTTCAAAAGAACCGGAGGGAAAAAATAAACTCATAAAAGTTTTGAAACTATTGAGATGACTACATATTTAAATTATTTAAGTTATGTTTAAATTCGAGATCACGCAGACGGCATGTCTAGAATTGTCAATCATTTCTAGACATGCCGTAAAGCCCAGTAAAGAGATGGAGGATATCTACAGTAATAATAAAATAAAGCTTAATTCAATTTAAAAAAATGAATAATTACCTATCTCGTGTACATGCATTTAAAACTAGGCCGAAGTTGCTAGCTGTGAGGCGACCTAAACGCATCTCATGCCATGTAAGATTTTCATTTTGGCCACATGTTGTAGCAGCCACCTGCACAATTTCTTTTTCTGTGACTTGGAAATTAGTAAATAGTCGTATTTCATCGATTTCTCCATTAACTATTTTGGACAGTTCTAAAATCTTGGAAAACGATTTTACTTCTGTATGCAGAGTTTCCTGCTCCGGAGACAACAGCCAACAAAAACCAGAAAACCTAAAAGCATTTCATTTAAAAACTGGTTTCTTTAAGATTACAAAATCCTGACCGGTTTAATGATTTGAGTTGAAAATAAAAGAACACTTTCCCACGAATTACATTTAAAGTTCCATCAAACACAACTTCCATTACATGCCCACTATCTACACAATTTTCGCCTTTCTTTACTACACTAATTTCATCCGCAAAAAGCTCTAAAATTGTAGATAACGTCACTAATGCCATGGTTCTGTATTAACAAAACGTAAATAATTAATTGTTGTTACCCATCAGCTGATCCGCAGCCATATTGTGACGTCAATACTTCTGCAGTCTATTATAGTATGTTGAACCAGAATGTGGAGGTGCCTAAAAAACACCTTACATGTAACAACAAACAAACGTTTTCACTTATAATAATTTATTAATATTACCTGCAGTACCACATACTTTCCATCTAGGGCACAATACAGTGGGGAAGATTCCACTGCTGCTCAATATCATCAGCTATTCTCTTCCATGAATTCTCACTAGGGATTAATGAAACAGTTTCGTGTAAACAGTCTCACAAAATACTGCATGTTTCAAGTATTATTTGCGATACAGTACTTTTTCCAATACGAAATGCGAAAGAAATAGATACCTCCGCTAGCTAGATACCTATTGTAACCGGCTGGTTACTTTTCAACTCTCTTCACCGTTTCTTCTCGAAATATTGTATTTGGGGGTGGTTCTTCTTATCTAAACTAAGGGTTGTTGGGCGCCGGCCAGCTTCAGTTGATAATTCTTCTGGCCTCAAGGAGAGGGGAAAGCATAACTGAATAAAATCAATTGCCTTTATTAAAACCTGTTAAGTTCTTTTTCTCTTAGAATCGCCTTTTAACTGTAAATAATACATATTAAGAGAAATGGGGGTGAGGCGGTACACTCCTGTGAGAATAAAGTTAACTCATTCATACACAAAAAGTCACTGCATATAAAGGAAAATCTGTATTTATTACGTGAATTAAAATCAAAGTATTTACTCCAAACTGCTGAGTACAAAAAGAAACTTAATTCGTATTTCATAAATGATCATCCAATTTAATCGAAAGTCAAAACAAAACTGCTGTAAATGCGTGTAGTAACGCTTCCAGGCTCGAGTCGTTAAAATGAACACAGTGCTAAAAAGCACTGATCTGAATGCAACACTAGTAGGTAATTAAATCGCCTTTACAAACATACCACTTTATAATAATCTTGTAATAACAAATAAACGACAACGCAATAATAAGTCTACCACGGGGCTAATAACAACGCAACATAACCACAACGCAATATTGTTTATAAATACCTTAGTCTATAAGTGCACCAGGACTTTGTCGCACGATCGATGTGGAAGTCGAATGAATTCGGACCGCCCACTGCAGGCTGCTATTCGCTTTTTAGTTGGACCAATCACAGGCAGGCTGGTTTATCTTGGTCTTCGTTTGGTACTCTCTAGCTGGACTACACACGGACCGCAGACGGAACAAGCGCCAAGGAAACTCGTCTTCGGTAATCTCGCGATTTTCTAATTTTCTTCGGTGCGCCTTGAAGAATCGTTTTTCGCCTTTTACGCTGGCTCGATGGCGATGATTTCACTCGGTTCTTTTGCTTCTTTTCTTACAAAGATCACCTTAACGCTCTATTAGTAAACTCCGCGCTTATAATTTGCGGGCGCGACTGACATAGATGTTGCTCCGTAAAAAGGCGGCGGGCAAATCCTTTCTGATGCTTGAAATCTCCGTATTTATACTTTCGCAGTTTGTATCCACTGGCCTCAATTCACTTTATCGCGCAAACTCTCACATGTATAAATAACTTGAACGCCCGTGAATTAAGTTTTTGACACTTTGGCAGCGGTAGAGAATAGACGGATTTAAGTGGTTCTACTAGCTTTAGATTAATTATTTACAAGGACTCGGACTTTGACCTTAGCGTTAATACTTGTTATTTCTATGCAGTTTTTTTATCCTAATTTACATATTTACATACGGTGAATGCAATTCTATTTACGTCGCGATCATTACTTATGTTTAATTCTCTTTCTGCGTCATAGCGGCTATATTTGAAATGCACACTCGGCTACAATAACTTGAAATAAACAATTCTCCTTTAAATGCATTCCCATTCAGTCACATCATTCGTACTTGGCAGTCATGATTACATTTAGACTGGCTACTTTAATTACGAAAAAATAAAACTTTAAATAACCTGTACAGAAATACTGTTACACTATTAAAACCTTCCTGAACACGCGCTTTATTTTGGAACATGCATACCCGCTGCGGACTGACGCTCCGCAGTAGTTTAATTGATGTGTATGTAAAATCTAACAAACGTTTATTGAAGAAATGATGTTTATTTGCTACTAATGTACTATAAAAAAATTGTATTATACAAGAAACATTACAAAAAGGTATGGTAAAAAATAAAATGGTGTCTATGCATGCTCAATGTGTTCTGAAAAACAATCAAGACAAAGGTGTAAAGTGTGTTCACCACAGATGAATTTAAAACATTTTTTGCAAGTTATTCTTGTTGGCCGATTCTTTCTCCTGTCACAGTAACTGCAACGTCCTCGTGTAGCGACTGGAGGTTCTTGATTTGGTGCAGGTACTCCTGTAAGCTCCTTTATTCGGTCTTTCATAGTCCTTGGTAAATTTTGGGTTTGCAGTCTTGTTCTTAGGTGGTTTTCGATAAGAAAGAATGATAGTGTTTTAAGAAATTTTCTCCTGGTCATTTGAATGTCAATATTATTTGAGAAGTACAGAACCATTGAATTAATACCAGCTACATTCAAAATGGCGTAAAAAATTACCATGGGCCACCTTCGAGTGTTTCGAGCACAATTATAAGACGCACATAGTTTGTCCACAGTATCAACGCCGCCTTTACTGGCATTATAATCTAAAATCATCTCCGGTTTCCCACTTGGACTTACTATATCATCATGATGTAAACTGGATATCAACAACACATTTTTCTTAGGTTTTGGCATGTATGATACCAGCGTAAGATCCTTTTGGAATCCAAATATGCTGGAACCAATTGGTCTGCCAGTAGGCTTAGAAAACTCGATTGGGAGTTCCCGCTTATTTTTACGTATAGTTCCTAAGAAAGTAAGCTTATACTCATTGAGAAGGCGGTGGATTAAATCGACTCCAGTGAACCAGTTGTCACATGTTACATTCCTACAGGATCCTCTAATGGGCTCACACAGTCTTCTAACAACTGCCGATGCGGAGTTGTCTGTAGCGTACGGGCCATCCGGTTGTTTTCCCAGGTACACTTCCATATTTACCGTGTAATATGTTTTTGAGTCAGCAAGTGCAAATATCTTGATCCCATATTTATTAGGCTTGCTGGGGATATACTGCCTAAAAGCACACCTACCCCTAAAAGCCTCTAGCTTTTCGTCGATGGTGACGTTTTCAAATGGCGAATAGGCGAGTTTGCATTTGCTTACAAACGTATCAAAAAAGTCCCTGATCGGCGCAAGTTTGTCCACCCTTTTTCGTTCATCGCGAGTCTCCATATCATCAAATCTTAGATTTTGTAATAAAAATAGGAACCTATTTTTCCCCATTACCAGACGAAAAATTTCTATACCCGTTCCTTGGTTATTCCATAAATCTTCAACATTCAAGCGATTCGATTTTAATGCGCCAGCCAAATATAGAAGACCAATTAGTGCTTGAATTTCCGTAATATCTGTAAGTTTCGCGTCTCTTTCCCTAGCGTAGTTATCACGTACACTTTCAATGTGTTTGTTGGTGTACGCAACAACGGCTCTGAGAATATCAGCATCAAGAAAATGCTGCCAAATATCTAACAGATTTCGTACCCTTCATGGCGGGTTTAGCGCCTGGCATGTCTGAAATTTTGTTTACTGCTCTCGTTCTCACGTTTTTTCTTGGACAATGTTTGTTCCACTTCGATTGATTATCTTTTCCAAGAAAATAAAGGGCCGAATCATCATTATCATCAACGTCGTCATCTGAAATATCTTGCTCGGTATCGCTATTGTGGTCATCTGTTTCTAAGATATCTTCTTCATCTGGATCCGATGCATCATCATAATGTATGGCGGTCACGTCATTGTCATCCTCCAGCAAACATTCTTCCATTAGTGCTGCCAATCGTGCCTGTTCCCTTTCATACAACGCCATCCTGTAAAACAATAACCCAGTAACGCTATAAATACAGAACTTAAATGTTACTAGTATGTACTTACTTGAAAAATAAACACGTTGTGAGTCGCTGACTATTATAACTGCAGCACACGCTGCGGACTCACAGTCCGCAAATAACAATAAAAAAGTACACAAGTACACCACTCCACAACTAAGTTAGTACTAAGCTTCGAGGTCTTATAACGAACAGCTATTGGGCTGGGGCAACCCCACTCCCTTCGCATTAAGTAGATAAACCTATAAAATAAATGGTGCGGAGCGTGAGTCCGCGCGCGTGTGCTCGAAGGTTAACAGTATTTTATAACACACTTAGTATTTAAATAGCTTAGATGGCCAAATCTTTCGCTACTCATTTGTAAATAATTAAAATGCTTTTCTGTATCATTCAATCTCATTTCTTATAATAAGTTATGATAAGCTTTTCGCTTTTTAAAGATATCACGCATCCAATACCTTTGAGAGTTTCTTTTATTTTTTTTAGGAGCAATAACGATAAAAGTAATGTTACATTTACGTTATATAAGTACTTTTTGTGGCAAAAGTTGTAATATTCAATGTCCATTATAACAACTTCGATGTCAAAACAAACCAACTTGTAGGTTAGAATTTCGTCCGATCGTCGGAAAAGTTAAACTCATTTCGACTTTGTCCGACGTCGGACGAAAGTTGAGAATTCGTATCCGCAGTTTAGCGCTAAAACATTTTTAAAATTTTCAACCAATAGGAACACTTTCAGATCGTCGGACGTCGGATGCCATGAGAACTAAGCTTTAACCAGACCGACGCGGACGCGGGAGCGTACACGATGCGGTACGTGCGGACGTACCTCATTAACGCATGCGAACCGCCGCATCGGTGTCAGACCACTCCCGCAAGCGGCATTAAAGCAACCAAACCAATGATTCCCATCCAACGGATGGGTCTAGGACAACTCGCCGACGCCGACTGACAGTCGGGTAAACTCGCCGTCAGCGCAAAAAATAATAAAAAATACTACTAAATGTAAGTGCAATCAGTTTATTCTTATCAAACAAAACACTCTAAAATTACAAAAATATTTTTGGTTATACATTATAAATTTACATTTCATAATTATGGGCTAACCCCCTAAGATATTCCGAAATATCACTATCGTCACCAAAATTCTGGACTAATGACAACACGCGTGCGTCGGCGTCTCGATACTTTCTCAATTTTAGAGGTGGAGGGTTACCAGCGACCAGTGAATTCTTAAAAGGGTGTAGGCGGTTATTATAATTTTTAAGGAAGGTCTTTTTCACAAGGGTTTACATACAATTTTTCTTGCTATTTTGCATACGATAAAAGGATCTAGATCGTTTTGGGGGGATCTTGATCTAGATCCTTTCTTAAGTGTAGATCCGGTGACGACGAGATTGCTCGTCGGCGAGTTGCCGGCGGCCAGTCGGCGACTCGGCGACGGCAACTTGTCCCTGCCCGCCAACGGATGCCTTAATGATAACCGATATCCATCGGTAATAATTCTACTACGCATACCAATCCGTAAGATGAGAAACAACAGTCACAGTATGCCTCCACAACATCATCAAGTAGTTATCTGGAAGCACGTTCTTCCCCATTAAAGATGACACGTTTTTCACATTGTGCGGTCACAAACACCTTTTGTGGCCTGAGGTAAGCCATGCGGTTGGAATTTCGGAGCAGTTTTTGTCCTTGAAAATCACCACTGCATATGGTTCGGACCTTAATGAACACAATGTTCCTTATAGCACACATAATATTATTATGTTTAGTACCATCCTCAAATTTTCGGAGAGAACTAGCACGTAACTAATATGCTTGAATGCAGACATAATTTTTATAATGGATAATGTCCGTCAAAAATTACACTATTTTTATAATAAATACATTAATGCAGTAAACCAATCACAATAATGTCATTAGATAAAGGTAACTTTACAAAACACACTTTTTTCAACAGTAAAAAGAGTAAAGTTACTTTCACTTTCACGTAAACAGTTTACAATTTTAGTACAGATTGCAGCTAGGATTGGCCAAAATTGACTTGTTGAACCTTTGGATATCGGTAGACAGTCTACATTAATATTTATTTTGATGACATTTGGAAGCATTGTAAAATATCGTTTAATATTATAACATAGTCCACGTTCTAGGCCTAAATGGGCATATCGACCTCCACTTAAGGGTGTAATCCAGTACTACAACATTTATGCGAAAATAGTGCGATTTATATTTCGTCTCAATTCTGTAAAACCTGAGATGAAAGACGGGGCTAATTTTTTTCGTGTAAATTATACATTTAAAAAGTATGCTACAGAACAAAATTTTAATATTTAAGAAAAATCAATTTTTTAGGGCACTGCCAATAAAAAGTGAACTTTTATAGGTAAAATGGCGTCAACACAAATTATTTTAAAAATCTCCCTGTAGCATACTCAGAAAAAACATTAGCAAACCATAGAGCCATCGACCAAACTTTCAAATAAATTACAAAAAATTTTAGACGAAATATTAATTCGAAATTTTTTACGAAAACTTGTAGCGTTTAGTGAAGTCATTCACCATTTATAAATGTACAGTAGGCAACACATCATACGGCAGGCCTGACTTCATTAGCGGCATTGTTGCGTTTATCGGGACTAATTTAGAAATAGAAACCGGATTCATTAGAACGTATTATAATTCCATAATATACTGGGTAATAGAATTCACACGGAAAATGTGATTTATTTTTGGGTGAATTAAAAGTTTACGTCTTTTCTGACGTTTTTTGTAACACCCCTAATATTTTAGTGTGATCAAAATTTGAGATTATTCTCATGTAGCATCTTTCGGAAAAAGATATAGTTTGCGAAAAAAGCGTTAGTTCTCATTTATTTTGTGTTGTTCCCGAATTAGACGAAATTTTGAAACACCCCTAAAATTTTAGTGTGATACAAATTTGAGATTATTTCCCTGTAGCATCCTTCGGAAAGAGACATAGTTTGCCAAAAAGCGTTAGTTCTCATTTATTTTGTGTTGTTCCCGATTTAGACGAAATTTTGAAACACCCTTAAAATTTTAGGGTGATACAGATTTGAAATTATTCCCATGTAGCATCTTTCGGAAAAAGATATAGTTTGCGAAAAACGCGTTAGTTCTCATTTATTTTGTGTTGTTCCTGAATTAGACGAAATTTTGAAACACCCCTAAAATTTTAGTTTGATACAAATTTGAGATTATTTCCCTGTAGCATCCTTCGGAAAGAGTCATAGTTTGCAAAAAAAGCGTTAGTCCTCATTTATTGTGTGTTTCCCGAATAGACGAAATTTTGAAAAACCCCTACTAATAAATGTTTGGGATTTGGATATGCATTTTTTAAATATATCTAATTATAGGTACTTATTCGCTTACATGCGTTATTTTCCAGATAGAGTCAATATAGTTCATGATCATGAAGTAACTATACTGGGTTTAAAAAAATATATACGTCTTATGAATAACTGGGAAAAGTGAAATTATTGAGGATTAGCCGCTGTGACAATGATTTGCGTTTTCTAATCGATGTTTAATTATATATGCATATTCGTCACAATGGCTAATGACCTAGGTAAATTAGCGTAATTACCTGTTGACTTTATACAATGGTTGATGGGCAGGTAAATTCTACAATCTTTGTTTATTCGTTTCGATTTCATTACAAGTAAGTATTATGCAACCCATCATACGTCAATCAGAATTAAAATTTAAGTGGAATACACCCTTAATGCAGTAATAATACAACTTGTATTTTTAGGAGTACTCATTAGGGTTCTTGCATCACTAGGTAATTCAGAATACCCGTTTGTTTTTAATAACTTTGACAAATCGTTTAGGAAACTATGTGACACATTATGGTTTAATATTAATTGACGCAGATCACTGCTAACATCCTGAGGAACACTTTCACTGTAAAATGAACTTGAGAATGGGCTACGTGTGGACTACGACTTCCATTTGCGTTTCCGATTTCCTTACTAAAATTAGTTGCATCTTCAAGATTACAGTCATCGTAGATGTGTTCGTGATTATCCAGACAAGTGTCTATTTCTATTATATCATTTTCAGTGCTTTTTGGGTAAACATTGCCTTCATCGGCTGGAGCTGTAGATGTACTTGTTTCATTTACATTTACATTGTTTGTGGACAATATTGTAACATTTTGCAAAATAACCCTTCGTTTTTGTCGATCCGATAGACATGTAAACTCTTTTCTGTTTCTTTTCATTTTTATAAACGAATTTATACACAATTTCAAACCCCCCAAAAGTAATGCATAATTATTTCTTTTGTATACTTACATCAGACTATATATATATATATATATATATTATATATATATATATATAGCAAGTCTGACGCATGATTAAAATTTTCCAAAAAAAACACGTGCTTATGAAGATTTCTCGCACAATTGAAGACACAAGTGGATAAAGGTGTTATGTCACAGAATGATTATTCTCTGAAAAATGACATTAAAGATTTTAGATTGGAACTTTGTTATTTATTCAATGCCTACAGCTCTTTAAACGTCATATTGGGTTGGGAGAAAATGAACTTTGAATGTACATGACACCTTCATTCATGGTGATATGTATAAACTAGTGATACATATAAATGGAGGAAGGTGTTATTTAACCAAAAATGTTTTATTTCCATTATAAAAACATCAATAACAGAGTTGATTTATTATCTTATGTGGTTTTTCTTTTTTTCTTGGGATTGTCTTGATTTTGTTCCAAAATGGTCTCATAAAACCATTTATATTCCTCTTTGACGAACTGTAGTTGTTCACGTAAGTTGTTTAGTTTTTCTGTAGTTAAGCCGCCTCTTTTTTCTGTGTCGTACGGTAACTGTGTTATTACCACTTACCACTCTATGTCCTTTTTTGAGCAGATCGACTTTGTGGAATGAAGTAAAGTCGTCGAAACTTTCTTTGTATTTATAACTACCAAATTTGTCAACCCTGATCCATTTAATACTTGTTCCAAATATGCAACTGCGCAGGAAGTTCTTCAATATTACAAAAGTAATTTTCCATGTTCACACAAACACAATTTTTGGTGCTCGCCCTTTGAATAATGTCACGGTATTGTTCAGGCACGAGGCACGTTTTCTACCTTTCTAAGTTTTTTTTTCTATTCTACCAAAGTTTCGGTCAGAGTCTAAGTAACTATGTCCAACCTCTGGAAATTTATGATCTATTACTTTAAATGATCCATTTAAAATTAAAAGTTGATAAAGGGACACAATGTTGAAGTTCTTGTTTTGGCCGGCACAAGAATCAGACCAAATTATTAAATGGTCAATCTGGTTGTAGGTTTCCTTCAGTAGTTAAGAAAATCTGTATAAACAACTGGCTATCTCAATACTCCCCCGGTTGGCAATGTCTTCAGTCCAATTAAAGAAAAATGGTTTGGATTCATGGCCAATTATGCAATGAATACCGAAATTGTAAAACCACATTTGACGCAAGTAAAATGCTTTACTTGTTGATAATTTGGGCAGTGGCATTGTTTGCTGGAGATCCATAGTTAAGTAACAGATGCTGTTTTCAGTCATTGGCTTCTCTCCGTCTCTCTTTTGGGATGCAAATAATAATAATAATAATCTTTATTGTCCAAACAGGTGTAATACAAAACCCTAGAATAGGACAAAATTATAAGTGAGAGAGTAAAAATTAATGAAGTAAGTAACTCGTAAAAAATGCGGCTTTGTAATTTTCAGTGTGCATATCTGTATTTTTTCCAGCATCGCAAACGCTGCATGTATCGCTTCGTGGATATCCAAACGAGAGATTAAATTTTGTGGAAAATATGTTGCTATATGAAGACAACGTTATATGGAAACACTCCTCCAGTCCATCTCTTTTACATTCTTCGAGATACAACTTGTGCATTAGAGTAAATAGAGGCGACAAAACACTTTTTGTAACAATTTTTGTTTCTGGAGTAATGGGATTCTTCGGCTGGAAATTTTTTGATGTGATTTTCAATGCGGTCAATAATATGTTCATTAATTTTGTGTGGACGATTAGCATGACGACCTCTTTTGTCGGGTGTTGGTGCATTTTGCCCATTCTTTCACATCCGTTGTATAAGTTCAATTTTTTTTCGGCTAAACTGATACAAGGAGCACATCGCATCTCTGCAAACAAATTCTGACTTTTGGTTGAAGGTAATGGAATATGTAAACGTATATGTTTTTTGTTTCTTTACGTTTAATCTATGTCTCGCAACAGGTTTAATATTTAAACTTTTGAACAGCAATGCATTTTTCGCATTCATATCAAGACCATAGTATTTTTTTTAAGATTATTTTTTTGTCGTCTAAGTTAAATTTTTCAGTGCACTTTAACCTGCATTTATCCTTGCACAACAATCCAGAGTTTATTTCTTTTTGTGGCACAATCTTTCCTGTTTGAGACAAATATTCTTCTCCCTTTGTCCCGGCCATTGCAGCTTTCCGTCTTTTCCACTGATCCGGATTCCTAAGACGACGTCTCGAAGTCTTCTCTTTTAACTCAAATAACTTCTTCTTCACAGTTTGTCTTTTTACTTCAAAAACCCGGTCTTCTGCTCCTCCTGTGTTTCCCATTTCACTATCAGCAGTAACATGGTCTATGAGTGCAGCATCTTCGGGAGTTTTTGAGTACCTCATTGGATCATTATTTCTTTGCGATAATATTTTTTCACGAATGTTAATCAGCACCTCATTATCCGAGTCATCGCTTGATTCTCCATTGGGAAAGTATTCGCTCCCAGACGTTGCATCTTCATCAGTTAAATAATCATCCATATTTGATCTTGATGGTTGAAAACCATAATCGCCTATAACAGTACTACCGTAATACCTAGGTACTCTTAAACCTATTTTTTGTGTTGCATGAATTTTCAGGGCGATTGGTGATGTTCTCAGTTGAGAAATCTTTACTTGTACTAGGAAAATGGCATACTTCTAAAAATGATAAACATATAAAAAGTGCATAGTTGTCATACTCGGAGGACTCACCCACATTCTTTTCTAAAACACAAAAGTAGCTGGAAGTACTACTTAAGTTTTCACTCTTATCATTTTGTTTATTCAAATTCAAGCCTAAAATTGTTAAAAAGTAATGGAAACCTGATATGATATAATGCAATCATTTTATTCCTATACCTTCCTGTAGTGTAGCCGGTGGCTGCTTTTGCGTATTTAGAAGCTCTAAAATGTATTTTCCTCTAGACATTATTTTAAAACTGCAAGTACATCATCACAAACAAAGTGCAACACTTTCACAAATCTTTACACATAACCTTTTCAAGCGCGATGGTGGAAGTAAAACTTTCTACTAACAGTGGATGAATGTGTTATGTTTGACGTTAAGTACATAACACCTTTATCCACTGTGGAACCATACAAACCGTGGAACATAACACCTTCATCATTAAAAATATCAGCTATTCACCATATTTGGACTTCAAACTGATTAACAAATGAAAGAATAACATGTTTAATATCACTACGCAGAAGTCAATTTAAAAAAAAAATGTTACATGGCACCTTTATCCACTTGTATCTTCAATTAACAAATCACAACACATGAGTTTAGTTAGGCTAAAGTTACAACTGCGCACAAGCACAAATAAATGTTATTTATGGAGCTGCACAGTTTCTGTCTGTCCCGTTTGGATGCGCCAAGCGTTATAGTGACGTCACTAATTTTCATTAGCCGCCAACGTAACTTTCTAAACCAATATTTTCGTAAACTACAATTCTATTTTATATTTATATCTACATTAGGTTTAATTTAACTACGTGGTACAAATATAAAATGCATCAACTTAACTGCTTAAACTTCTCCAGATCATAATGCATTCCAGTCAGGCCAGCGGTGGTATTCCGTGTACTGTCGAATTCTACAGTTTGTGGTAGTGGCGTCGCGTTTCGAATTACGTGAACCAAAAATAGCTACCTATCGCTTTGGCAACAGTCGTTTTATAGCGACACATATTCAGTGGTCGACAAGACAAAGATACTATCGCGTAGAAAAAGAAAGTAGGTGCTATCCGCGTCGTTTACCGTTGAAGTAAGGTTAGGTCGGTTGTGTTTACATCACGCTTCTTGTGCTCGTTGTTTTTAATAAAATAATCATGCGAGTTACAGTGGAGCATTGGGTAGCTTTTTTAAATTTCGCGGAAATACATAACCAGGTGATAACTAATAAATGCGATGGGAAAAATGGGAGACAACATTTAAAAAGTTTATGGGAGACCATAACTAACACCTTAAATGGACTTGGGTACGGATCCAAAACAACCGATGAGTGGAGGAGAGTAAGTACCTACATACCCAGTGGCGGATTTAAATTTTTTGCGCCCCTAGGCACACCGAAAGATATGCGCCCCTTCAAAAATATGTTTAGTAAGTAACTAAGTATATAATTTTCAAATAATCAAATCGCAATAAATATGCTTCAAGTTGCTAATAAAAATCACATTATTTAAGCTGAAATTTTTATTAAATTAAAACTAATATGAAGAAATAAACAAAACCACACTCACCAGTCAGAAAACTTTTATCTGGCTTTGATGGTAGCAAACTCGTTAATCAGCTCTTCATAATTTAGACGGTCATCACTTAGGAGGTCAGCTTCAATGTGCAGAATGGACAAGGCGTTCAATCTCTCCTTAGATAAAGTGGGACGTAGGTATGACTTCAGTCTTTTAAGAGCCGAAAACGAGCGTTCTGCTGAACAATTTGTAAGTGCCATACACAAAAATATTCTAAGAGCAATGTCAACATTGGGAAACACGGACTGTAACTGTTCCTTTCGAAGAAATTTACTCATTTCCACTGGCACATCACTAACCTCACAAGATTTCAACACTTCCGCGAAGTGTACACATTCACTCGGGAATGAAGGTTCTAAATCGGTATCATACAACGCTTGAAGTTTGGCTGCGCGTTCAGAAATTACGGCTGGTGAAGTGTCCTTAAGGTTACTGAAAACTATGAATGAGTCTAACAGTTTTTTATAACTTTCCTTCCTCCTCACTAATTCAGCGTACAAGTTGTCGAGTATTGGGAAAAATGTTTCGACTTTAAATTTTTCCCTACCAGTTAGAACTACTTCAGTGTGCGCTTCTTCATCAACACGAAGTTTTCGTTTTCTTGATCTTTTATAGGTGGTTTCGTAGTCCATATCCGAGTCCATATCAGTCATAATCTGCTTGGATTTTTTTTCATAATAGTCGAACATGCCACGAATAGAGCTAATAAATCCTACAAGTGATTCATATAATTCATGCACTATTTGAATATATATTTACACTTCAATTTCACACTTACACTATTAAATCTCTGGAGTATGTCTTTCCACACTGTCATCATGAATACTGTTTCCAGTCTATTGAGTTGATTCAGTAAACCTGAAGCCTCATTTCGCGCAAGTGGTTTCTCACAGGTATTGTTGCTAATATGTGTGAGGGTATTGATAACGCCTTCCCAATTTTCACTTAGACTTACACATGATTCCTCCCTTGATGACCAACGTGTTTTCGATAAGCTTTTAACTGTTTTGCTTCCTGATTCCATGAAAGAAAGAAGTTGTTCCCAGCGTTGTGTAGAACCAGAAAAAAAATTATAAACGTTCTGCACTAAATTGAAAAATGAACATGCTTCCTGACAACAGCTTGCGGCACTAGTGCCGACTAAATTCAAAGAATGTGCTGCACAAGGCACATAATGCGCTTTCGGATTTCGCTCTTTAATGCGTGCCTGCAAACCAGTGTAGGCTCCTGACATGTTGCTTGCATTGTCGTAAGACTGGCCTCTACAGTCAGTAATATCAATGGAATTTGTAGACAGGACTTTCAGTACGGCTTCAGCTAGGTTTTCAGACTTGTGCCACGGATTTGGTAAAAATTGAAGGAAGCGTTCAATAGGCTCACCATTCTCGTTCACATATCTTCCCAGCCAACACAAAACATCTCTGGGATATCGCCAAAAATCTCATACAATGCCACCCTGAGAGTACTAATGCAACTTCGCATAGAATACAGTGTGATTAAACTTTGTATTCTTTATTCTCTTGTGACCTCTCATAGAGTTATTTTTGTGAAGTAAAAATTATAACATGAAAGTACTTTAGACTCTCATATCGAGTCGCATTAACTCTCATTTTGGGAGGAAAATCTGCAAAATCACATTGATTCATTTGTGAGGCTTAAAATGACATATTTTCTATTTTTAAACGTAAACTGCTGTTGATGGCGTCATTGAACTGCAACGTGGGTGTGGTGTATCGTGTACCTATATTGTGTAGCAACAAGCACGTAGCACTGAGCAAGTAAGTAAAAATAAGACAGATATAGTGCACGTTGCATAAAATTTAAAAACGCAAGATATTTCCTTTTCCAGTTGTGTTCCAGTTGCATGTTGCCATTGTTGCGCCTTGTACGTTCATTAAGAGAAAATCTACAGCCTAATAAAAGGTATCAAGGTAAGTTTATACACCACAATTTTTACCTACTGTTTTTTGTTGTATTGACGTTTGCTGCTTGTGTAATTAAAAAATGCCCCGTCGTAACCTCAAACCTATGCAGTTATTAAGTTCGCGCCAAAAAAGAAGACGGAAGGCGAGCACTATTAATTTCTTTTCACCTTTGCCACATCCCGTTTGCCAATCTTCCCTTGAAGCTATTGATTCTTTTCCTGGTTGTTTACAAAATGATTCAGATTCCCCGGACCCGGTGCATAGGCCAGTTTCATGTCTCGCACCTTCTTTCGAAGAAGAAACAGTTCATAATTTGTGCCAACCTTCTTGTTCTACTACTTTCTGTGATAATGGCGAAGTGATTGATTTGAATTTACATGATAATTTTAACAACCTCGGAGCTGGGTGTGCCATCACTTCTCCAACCGTTATTCACACATTATCAGACGATTTGAGACAGTGGATAGTGGACACGAATATCAGTCATGAAAATGCGAATAGGTTACTTTTCATACTAAAGAGGCATGGTATACAAAAACTTCCAACAGATGTAAGAAGTCTCCTCAAGACACCACGAGTGATTAAAACAGTTAGTGTTCCGCCTGGAAATTATGTTCATTTTGGCATTAAAGAGAGTATTACATTCTTTGCAAAAATATTACTCAACAATAGCTCCTCCGGCAACAATTTATTTAGATTTTAATATTGATGGTCTTCCGATCGCAAAAAGTAGTACAAGTCAGTTTTGGCCAATTCTCTCTGCAATTGCAAAGACAGAGTTTTACTGTGAACCTTTCGTAATAGGTATTTACCAAAATTCAATAATTCAAATAAGCCAAATGATCCCAATTATTTTTAAAAAATGTTTGTAGAAGACTTACAGGAATTAATTTTGTCAGGCATTTCTTACAAAAATATTAACATAAAAATTGCACCACATGTCTTCATTTGCGATGATCCAGCGAGAGCTTACATTACCCTAGTCAAAAATCATACTGGTTATAATTCGTGTCAAAATGCATCACGGAGGGTGAATATTACAGCAATAAAGTATTTTTTCCTGAAACTAATCAAGACTTTACGGACAGACGAAACATTTAAAAATAAAGTTGATGATGAGTACCATAAGGGCACATCAATATTGGAATTATTATCAATAGGAATGGTTTCTCAATTTTGCATCGATTATATGCACTGTGTCTGTTTAGGTGGTACGAAAAAAATTTTAAAATTACTAGTCAACGGTAATGTAAGCGTAAGATTGCCGAAACCAAAATTAATTGAAATTTCAGCTCGTCTAAATATCTTAAAAAAATATATATGTAGTGAGTTTTGTCGAAAACCTAGAACACTTGACGAATTGGATCGCTGGAAAGCTACGGAATTTCGACAAATATTGCTGTACACAGGACCAGTTATATTTAAAGAAATATTGACTGTTGACCAATATAATCATTTTCTGTCTTTTAGTATAGCTATCAGAATTTTTGCTCGAACAAACAAAATCTTTATTTGTACGCTCACAAATTGTTAACTTATTTTGTGCAAAATTTTGAATTATTTTATGGACTAGAAAATATTACTCACAATGTTCATATGTTAACACATTTTATTTCATGATGTAAAGAAAGTTGGTCCTTTGGACAACTTTAGTGCATTTAAGTATGAAAGTAAATTGTTTAAAATTAAAAATAAAATGCAGTCGTCATCGAAGCCTTTGCAACAAATTTACAATAGAATTGTAGAAGAGCAAAAATTAATACAACCAGTTATTAGTTCATATCCATATTTAGAGAATTTTTTGGGTATTTCCGATTCCAATGAGGAGCTCTTTGAACGAATTCAGTTCCGAAATTATATGTTATCCATTAAGGCACCTAATAATTGTTGCTGTATACAGGATATTTTATTTGAAATACGTTCAATTAAAAAAACACACAATAAGATAATATTGTTAGGTGTCAAGTACCTAAATACACAACCTTTTTATTTCGATCCCTTGAACTCTCTAATTTTGGGTATTGGTGTGGTTAATGATAACAACATTCTCCCTGCCACATATGATATCAGCTGCGTCACCAAAAAATGTTTAAAGATGCCTACCGCTTTACCAAATTCATATATTATCATGCCCTTGATCCACTTATAAGGAAATTCCATTATGTCTTATTGATGCAGTTGATGAGAATTATCAAGAATACTCCTTGACATTTTCTATTTTTTTGAATATTAAACTTTCAATTAATTTTTATATTTAACTTAATTGTTCGACCACATTGGCTTATTAAACTTCAGGTTATTTAACAAATGTTAATTTTAGAAATCTGTTTGAAAAATATCTTTCTTAGAAGCAAACAAGGGTGCATGGTATCTGAAAAATAAGTAATCTCCAATTACATGTCAAATCGCCAATCAGTTCACCAGTATTCTTAAGTTAAATTAGAATGTAAAAACTCAGTGATAATTTTGCACCAGTACAGTTGTTTTGATAATTGAGTACTAATCCAGTTAATACTGAAATTTAGTCTCATGATGAAAAATGACCAGTTTTCATAATTCCAATTTGGACACAGGAAATACTCGGAACAATTCCTACGGATCTAAATTTTGTTTAAAGATAATTCCTCACCTTTCACCTATAACTATAATTATCCGCGAACTGCTTATTTGTAATTTTGATATATAGGTATGTCATCTTGCGTAAAACTTGTGACTGCTCTTAATTCATTTGCAGATGCAGCAGTATGCAGTTGTCCGTTTTTTAAAGGAATATATCAACGGCGAAAATGTGGTGTCTGAAGTGGCTCTCACTTGGCTACACGACAATAATTCAGTGTGTAAATGGCCACCCAGACATGATAGCTATCACATAAGAAAATATACCGTTCCACAACCAGATTGGACAGACCATCCCGTAGAGTGCGAGCGTATATGCGGTATACCTATATGAGTGTGTATTTTATATGTAGTACTGTTTAAGAATATAATTTTATTTTTTATTTTATTTTTTATTTTATTTTTATTTATTTGTTTAGCCAGATACCATACAGAATACAATTATTCCAATTACATGGCACTGGGATGCTGTACTTAAAACTAAAACTACACAGTAATTACGATCTTATATGACTAATTAATTCATTCAAAGAGCCGTGAAATACATCGATGTCTCTCTCACGGCACTTCTTATTTAAAGCCAACAGGCTCCTCGATAGTGGCGATGACGGAGTGGTCACTAAAAAGATGATATCGTTTTTCCTTAATTTAACATGTGGCACTTTGAGTTTAATTTCCTGAAGCAATTCTGGAGCATTTAGGTGATTATTCAGTATCTTGTACACAAAGGTAGCACAGATCACTTCGCGTCGGATTTGTAAACTTGAGATTTTAATACCGTGCACACTATTTAAAAATTTTAGTTGATTGGAGTAAGAGATTAAATGTGGAAAATTTTGAGTCGACCTAAAATACACTATTCGCACTAATTTTTTTTTAACTTTCTCTATCATGTCTGCGTGCTTATAAGTTTGGGGTGTCCAAATACATGCCGCATAATCGAGTTTGGATCTGATGAACGCATTGTATAATGTAATAATTGAGGAAATGCTTGTAAAATTGTAGGTATTCCTAATTACAAAGCCTAGTACTTTGTAGCACGCATTTATAAGGGATTCAATGTGCCGATGAAAATTTAAGTTGCTATTGAATAAAACGCCCAGATCTCTAACGGAGGTGACTCTTTGGATATCCTGGCCATTTATTTCGTATTTAAAAATCGTGGGATTGTTGGATCTTGTGTACGATACAACTTTGCACTTTTCTATGTTTAGCTTCAGTTTGTTTTTATTGCACCAATTTATCACTGCATTTATATCTGCTTGAATATTTAAACAATCGTTTGAAGATTTCACTTTATTAAAAAGTTTCAGGTCGTCTGCAAATAGAAGTGCTTTGGAGTTTTGAATCACCCGCGGTAGGTCATTAATAAATAGTAGGAAAAGGAAAGGGCCAAGTAGTGTTCCCTGAGGTACCCCTGAAGAGAGGTAAAATTCGGTTGAGTTCACCCCATTGTATTTCACTCGCGTTTTACGCGATGTTAAATATGATTTAAGAAATTTAGCCGTTGGGCTACTGACACAATTAAAATGAAGTTTCTGAAGCAGGACCTGATGGGAGACCTTATCAAAAGCTTTCGCAAAATCGGTGTATATACACAGTCCACCTGAGCCCTCTTGTCAAGGACGGCGGCTGTGAAATGCGTAAACTGCATTAAGTTAGTACTTGTTGATTTCTTCGGTGTGAATCCGTGCTGCTGATCTGCAATAACACTGCTAAGATGGGAATAAAGTTTATTATAGATTACTTTTTCGAAAATTTTCGCTATTGCAGGGATGATAGCTATTGGGCGGTAATTTTCGATTAGTTTCTTGCTGCCGCTTTTATGGATCGGGGTAATTGTAGTGGATTTCCAAACTGAGGGAAAAGTGGAGGTGCGGAGTGCCAAGTTGCATAGATGCAACAGGGGGGTTACCAGGCTGTGTGCGCATCCTTTCAATACGTATGGTGGGATCCCGTCTTCCCCTATAGCTGCACGTGGTTTTAGGACTTTGATTGATTCTAGTAACTCACTTTCCTGTATGTTCGTTAAGTGCAATTTGGATTGTGAAGTCCGACTCAAGCCCATCGTTCGGATCCAGGTTTTCCTCTTTGTTGTACACAGACTTAAAGTACGATGCAAACGCGTCGGCAATGCTTTTGGGATCTTCCAGCGGGATGGTTTTGTACTCGAAAACTTCCGGCAGTTGTTTGGTTGATGTCAAGCCCCAGAATTTATTTGAATTACTCCGGAGGTCAACTTCAATGTTCCTGATGTATTTCTTATAAGCGTCACGGATCATTTTTTTGAGTTCCTTTCGGTCTTCCTTAAATTCTTCCGATTTGCCTCGTGTGCGATGTTTATTCTTCAATTTAATTTTCTTGATAATAGCTAAATCAAACCAAATGGGGTACTTGTTTGTGATCCTGATAGTTACTTTTGGGACGCATTCATCAAAAATCTTGTATATACAATTTCATAAAAAGTAGTTACCGCGTCGTTTACAGATTTGTAATCGATTTGGGTAAGGGATTCCCAGTTGGCGTCGCGAAATCGTAAATACATTTTGTAAAAATCTGCCTTTTTAAAGTTGTAGTTAGTTGTTGTCCTAGTTTGATTAATCTTTCTTTCCGCTTGATGTATTACTTGAAGAGCTGGATGGAGAGGTTTTACTTTGTCTAGCAGATCAGATGCCGTTGTGATTTCAGCATTTATGTTTGTTAAAATCAAATCAAGTGTTCTGTTATCGGAATTTTTAATTGTGTTAATGGACCTTAAGTTGTACATGGAGGCGAGATTTTTGATTACTTTGGCTTTAGAGCTCCCGTTTTCAAGGTTATACGTTGCATCACTAATTTCCGGAATATTGAAATCACCGGCAAGTAGTACCTCGGATGTGAGCAATAAATTTTCGATTGATTCTAAACTTTTAAGAAATGACTCGTATTTTTCCGTGTTCGATTGAGGTTTGAAATATATTACGCCAATTATGTAAGTAGTGTTTTTAAGTTTGAACTTAATTTACAGACTCTAGAGAAGAAGCTCGCAAAAAAAGTGTACGAGATCCCGAAGCTGGGAGCAGTACGTCGTCAGAGATCGACATGGGGAGGTCATTAAGAAAAAAACGTCCCAACAAATTGTTAGTAAATTATTATGCCTGTCCGTCTCCACCACGTTTGGATGACATCGATGCTGGCGATGAAGGTAATTACCTATGATTTAGTTATTGTTTTTTTTTAGTTTGTATGCGGTAGTATAATCTTGATGATGTAGCGGAGGATGTTGTACCTTGGGTCAATTTTCATTCAAATTCATTCACTTTCCCCTACTGGGTAAGAAACTTGGGGCTGTATGGCAACGTCCTTTGGAATGTTGCACTCTATTTTGTGTTGTACCGTAGTGGCATTAAATTTATAAAGTATTAAAATTACTGATCCTATAGAAGAGCGTTTTGATTATCTTGGAGATTGCCCACATTTACATTTTGATTTTCAATTTCAATTACGTAATTAACATTTTCTGGGTCTGAAATACATAAATTGTGCAAAATAGCACAGGCAATTACAATATCTCCTACTTTCTGAGGGTCATATCGCAGTTTTCTTTCGCCCATAATGCACCGAAATCTACTCTTCAAAACTCCTATACATCTTTCAACACAATTTCTTGCTCTCATTTGTGCCTGTGTGTATGCATATTCAGGCGTGTTCAGTACAGCATCAACAATAGGAGTCATGAGCCAACATTGTTGTGGATACCCGGAATCCCCTACTAACCAAGAATTTCTATCGCCTACAATTTGTTACCATTAAATATGAAATTATTGCATCCAACTACCTTGATTATAACACCTTTGTAATTCATGTTGTACAGCAGATTCTCGCCAAATAAAACTCATGAATGGCTCCTGCATATTGTGCATTGATATTTAATATTTTCAAATTATAGTCACATATCTAAAAGTTTTCATAAGTATCATTATATTAAACAATGCTATACTTAACTATTTGGATATTTTTTGAATGGAATCCTTTTCTGTTTAAATAATTATGCTCTTCCTCTGGAGGGGCAATTATGGCAACATGTGTACCATCAATTGCACCAATACACCCTGGAAATTGAGTTGCTTCCATAAATTGTCGTTTTATACGATTTTTGTGAGGGGCGGTTCGTGGAAATTGCACCCACTGAGCTGACAATCTACCAATTGCCGTAGTCATTTCTGCAATTATTTTTGACATTGTAGGTTGCGCTACAGAAAAATTATAACTTTGCCCCACAGATTGTTGATATGAACCCGTGGCAAAAAAGTTTAGTGTCGCCAAAACCTTCAACATAAGAGGTATAGCCACGATATTTTCGGTTATATTAACATGGACTTCCAATTCATTACGTAGATATCGCACCATTCCTTTACTTAAACGGAACAAACTTATAAATTGTTCGTCTCTTAAAGAAAATGGATCACTATCATCCCTCATAATTCTCTTCTCTAAATTAAATAATCGAATGTGTTCTCGTCTTTCTCAGTTATGCATTTCTATGATTCTTGCAATATTTACGGGCAACATCTAAAAATGTTTATATTTAACGTTAGGTACTACCTTTAATTAACTTACGATAAGTAGGTAGGTACCACAAATGTCAAAATCTAAATACCTTAAATTAGAGTAAATACGGACATAACCTTATATGTAAAAAGAAAACGGTCAACGTTTTTAGAAATGTGTGTATAATCACGAGTGTTCCCGAACTCGCTAACGACTGTAGTAATGGAGAAAAGAGAATACCATTTCAAGCGACTATGGCTATCAACTGTTGAATTCTACTGTTGCTTTGTAGCGATAATGCACGAAATACCACTGCTGGCTAGTCCTGTTATGTATATGTAATATATTGTCTATGAGGCAGTTTGCAATGTATCAAGAAAGTTGCATATGATATATAGTATAAAAGCCGTCTTACACTATGCAATTTGTTGCGCAAGAAATTGCACAATTTCTTGTGCTATAAAATGTAGCAAATATTTGTGAGCTGACTGCTTTATACTATGCAATTTCTTGTGCAAGATATAGCCGAGGATTCTGCGCATTTATACTATAATTTATACCAGCTGACAATCATACAACCCCAACCTATAATTACCACAAGTTTTCAATAATTTATTTTGTTTGTTATTGTATACAATGAATGTGGAAAGACGAATATCTGTTGTCAGTGGATTGATCGGTATATGTGTAATTCGTAAAATTCTAAAAAGACGCGCTGCCAGAAAGAACAAAAAGAGAAAATTGTGGCAGGAAGAATGGTTAAAAAAAAGAGATGTGGGTAAAGGAGTTTTATCGCTTTTGCAAAACGAGTTACTTCATGAAGATCCAGAGGCATATAGGAATTTCTTACGGATGGATAACGATACATTTATGGAGCTTTTAACCCTTATAGATGATATCATTAAAAAACAGGATACTCAGTTACGACAAAGTATCCCAAGTGACAAAAGGTTGGTACACTGAAATATTTCTCTACAGTCTACATATTACCTAATTTACCTTTCATTAGTACTAAACTGCTAACTTATTTCCAGATTAGCAGTAACACTAAGGTATTTGGCCAGTGGAAATACGTTTAGAGACTTAATGTATGCAACAAGAATACATGAAAGTACCATAAGTATTATTGTAATGGAAGTGTGTAAAGCTATCATACAAAACCTAATGAAAACATATATACAGGTGTAAAATTGATTCATACGTTGGCTGTTTATTATCTTTATATTTTAGTTGCCTCGAACTACTCTGGAATGGGAAAACGTGGCCAAAGGGTTTGAAAAACTTTGGAATTTTCCCTTTTGTCTTGGCGCCTTAGACGGAAAGCATGTCAATTTTCAAGCTCCTAAAAGCAGTGGATCCTACTACTTTAATTATAAAGGATCCCACAGCATAGTGTTACTAGCATTGGTAGATTCGGAATATAAGTTTTTATATGTAGATGTTGGAGTCAATGGAAGAATAAGTGATGGTGGAGTATACAGAGAAAGTAGTCTAAAAAAAGGCATTGATAGAAACCTATTAAACTTTCCAGAAGACCGTCATTTACCAGACACTGCCTTAAGTGTGCCGTATGTTATTGTGGCAGATGATGCTTTTCCGCTATCAAAAAGAATAATCAAACCATATCCTTTAAGGGGATTGTCTGTGGAAAAACGAATTTTTAATTATAGACTGTCCAGGGCAAGACGAACAGTAGAGAATGCCTTCGGCATCTTAACAAACAGATTTAGAATTTTGCAAAACACAATAAATTTAAGCCCTGAAAAAGCAGAAATACTTACGCTAACGTGCTGCATATTACATAATTTCTTGACTGTAAGAAACAAGAAGTATATTCGACCAGAAAATGAAATTAATGAAACATGTAGTTTAGAAACCATATCTCAGCAAGGTGGTTTTAGAGCAAGTAATGAGGCTCTGCTTACAAGAAACAAATTTTGTGATTATTTTAATACTGTCGGAAGCGTTGAGTGGCAAAATAAGTCAATTGGATTAGTTTAGGTTCTATTGTTCACATGTGCTCTACAGTGATGATTATGTAATAACGTCAAAATAAAACTGTATCGGTGTAATAAGGATAATTGTAATATAGGTACATAACATAAAATATCTTGTAAAATATTAACTCAATAATGCCTCGTGCAAAACAGTATGAATATTATATTGCACTGTCAATCTTTTGTTTTCATTTCTTATTTTTTTTAGTTGTGAAGCTACAAACTCCCCAAATATATCTTCACTGCTTTTGAGACCTGGCTTAAGCGCATCAGTAATTCCCTCAAGGCTTGAAGACACAGCTTCTAACACTTTTAGGTCTGGGTCTTCTGCCTTTTTACTTTTTCCTTTTGCACCTGTTGCAGATGAAGACCTGTTATCAACTGAAAGACTTCTTTTTTTTAATCCACCAAGTCCAAGTTCCAAATCATTCTGATGACAAGATGAGCCACTTCCCGCTGATGATGGTCTGGTGCTAGGTCTGGTGTCAACTGAAATGCCTTTTCTTTTTAACCCACTGCATCCTGACCTCTGATGATCTGGTATTAAATCTGAGGAAATTTCTGGTGATAAAGGTACCAATACTCCTTGGTCATCTACTTCATACTGTTCCACAATCTAAACATATAATGTTCAACTTTTGATGTGAAAGAATGTAGCTACTTACAGTTTCATTAATTGATGAATCCAGTAAATCTTCCTCCTGTGTTTGTGATGTTTCATTGCCCTCCTCGGGCAATAAAAAGTTTGAATTAGATTTCCTGACTACAAGGTGGTCGTCCAGGAAATCCATTTTTTCATAATACCACAGCGACGGATGGTAAACCTAGTTAAATGGTTACGTTACTATTATTATACACTATAAAGTGATACAAACTACCTCATTTTCGGCCATTCCACTGTGTATACTCGCTAAATGTTTCCTTCTCTCATTTGCGTACGTTGTCCTTAATCCATGAAATTTTTTTTGGACATCAGCTTCTGAGGTAACTGGTCTTATCGGTTTAATGTTATTAAGTATGGTTAGCAGAGCAGCATTTCGGACATGCTTGTTGTGGTAGTTTTTGTCCTTTACCACATACAAACACGGATGCATTTTGTATAAGTCAATAAGACAAGAAATCTGTTCATGTGTCCACGACATTTTAACGCAAAACTGGCAACACAAATAACTAAATGAAGGAATTAACAAGACAAGACAGATTTTGTCAAACAAAACACCTCGAAAAACACTAAACAGCTGATCTGAAAACACATGTTCAACGAGCGGCGCACGCGCATTTTAAAATTGCATTGAAACTGGCATAAAAAATAGCACCGGTTCTATTTTTGATGCAATAATTTGTTGCAATGTAATTTTGCATGCAATTTCCTGTATGATACTATGCAATTTAAATTGTGCAATATATCTTGTGCAAGAAATTGCTCAGTGTAAGACGGCTTTAAGACATCCCCGTCCAACGTTCCGTTTGCGCCTACGTTGCCATGCTTGATTTCATGTACATCTACCAGACTATCATGGCTGCCATGTGTCAAATCCCTTATGTGAATTTCGGTTCTTTCTGCACCCTACAAAGATCAACAGCTTTATCTAACGTTAAATTACCTTCTCTTAATAATCTGTCTCTTAATTTTATATTCTTCACGTCACACACTAGGTATTCGATCCACCAATAATTCGTCCTTTATTGCTCCCAACTCGCAGTTGCCCGCAATTTTCTGTAATTCGGTGAAGAATTGGTCGAATGTTTCATTTTCGTGTTGAATTTGTGCCTTTCCACGCTTTCGTGCTGGTCGATACAATATAGAGATATCGGAAAATAGAATACCGCTTGCGGCGTAAATAACTCCTGGCGGTATTGCGTTACGCTAAGCGGTACCGTAAAATACCATAACTATGGTCCACTTTTGACATATTTCAATTGATAAACAAATTTGTTAGGGGAAGGTAAGGTAAGATGACGAACGGGGTAAGATGACCAATGGCTTTTAACAAAACACCACAAACAATGTAAAATTTCTTCATGCTACTGACATCTAGTGTTTTAACAGGTGTATTAATTTATGCATAGAAATTCTGGTGGAGTTTGTAGTTTTCTCGTTTAAAGCACATGTTTGTAATCTCATGTTTGGTTATAAAATTGTGTTAGCTGTCGTTAGTGTTTTATTCGAAAAGTACAAGTGAGAAAAATTTTATTTTTCTACAACTGTCAAAAAAACCTGTCATTTTCTGACGGATTTCGAAACGCGAAGTACTAGATTTTTAATCGGTTAATTAATAAGTAAGGTTGCTCTTGACAACGTGCGCGAAATCGTCAACAGTGAAAAAAAGTATTTCGCGCACGGGACAAAGTTGAACTTAAACAGCAAATTTAATTAACAATCGGTTCAGTTGTAGAAAAAATATTGTATATAACGCTAGCGCGAAGTTATTTCGCGGATTTGACTGATATTTTAACTCGGCTTCGCCTCGTCAAAATACCTTCAGTCTCAATGCGCGAAATTGAACTTCGCGCTCTTGTTATATAAATAACTATTTTGTTGTAGGTTCTACCCTAAGTTATATAACAATAGTGCTCTATTTAAATTGCAGAAATCCTAAGACGCTTTCTGTATATATTTTAAAACGCCTTTTTATTTGTAGTGGGGTAAGATGACGGGGGGAAATGTTCCACGAAAATTTAAATTGTATAATAAAAATGGAAAACGCCATGCAAAATTTAACAGTAAGTACTTTAATTTATCCTAATGCGTAAATTAATCTTATATAACTACTAATTACATTGCAAAACAATAAATTTTAGCATGCAGTGCCATAAATACTTTTACATTAATAAAGCTGCCATTAATCTTCATCAAACTGAAGTTACACAAACCATTTTCCTATAATCGTGATGTAGGTACTTTAATGATTTTAAACAGCATAAAATACACAGTCACATGAAATGCATATCTCCATCAATATCTACATTTATTTAACAAATTATAATGGACGTTAACTACATTTGTAAAAAACGCTATCTGTACCATTGCCTCAACAAGTGGCTACACTTCCTGTAACAGTAAAACTTTCAAATTGGCCAATTTCCTTTTTAAATAAAAAAAATTTTCGGTCTACATAGCTTTTTCCGTATGCGTACCGATTTACGTTCACACAACTTTAGTTTAGTCCAAGATTCAGCCACCCAAAACTACAACATTGAAAGCGTAATGCCTTAATACCAATCCACGTACTGTACTCAGAGCTGTCACAAATCGTTTAAAAAACGATTTAAATCAAAGATGCATTCATTTTAACAAATGATTTAAATCAAAGATACTTGTGTCAATAAGAAAGTATTTAGATAATATCATTTTGAGATTGAAATATTTTTTGTGATTTAAATCTTTTTAGAGAAAGTATGTAAGATACTTTCAATGTATTTAATTCATTCAAAAAGGTTTAAATCCAATTTTGTTAATTTAAATCACTTATAAAGATTTAAATCATGTAATGATTTAAATCGTTTTGTGACAAAATGTTTGTAAAGGATTGAAATTCAATAAAACTGATTGGTCTGATGGTTTATTAAATTAAAATATGTATTTTTTTTGCGAAAGAAATTTTAAAAAACCAAGACATCATCAATCTCTAAAAAACCCGGATTTATATTTTAGACTGCAAAGGTTTATTGAAAATAATATAAATCAAATTCACAAAACTAAACGATATAACAACCAATTTATACAAGAAAACAAAATTATATCTACTTATATTTTAAGTTGGTATTAGCTTTTAACAAAACAAGATTTTCAAAATTGTTGTCAGTTAATGCGTGTCGACGAGGTGAGTTTATAAAAGTGGCATAAGAGAACATTCTCTTCACTGGAGCCGAGGAAGGTAATGTACAATTATATTTTAAGAACATTATTTTTAAGCAATTGTAATTCAAATTCATTAAAAGCAGAATTTTGGTTGCTCAGATATCTGCCACGGCTGTTAGCTCAAAAAAATCATGTACCTCATTTTGAACACTTATTGGTTTTGGTGCATTATCTTCAGCAGTTATAAATTCCTTTGCAGCGTTAATTATCATATTTTTTACATGATTTTTTTGAATAATTAAGTTGGTATTTTTGATTTAAATCACTCGGATTTTTAAGTTCAAAATCAAAGATGGTTTTCATGAAGATTTAAATCTTAAATCAAAAATCATTTTCCGTAAAAAGATTTAAGATCAAATGATTTAAATCGAAAAAAGTATTTAAATCATAAAACAGATTTAAATCTTATTAAAACTGACAGCTCTGTTGTACTTTTCCTTTCCTTTCCTTACTTTAAAATTTGTGATTTTTTAGATTAACGATGATTACGAGGATGATTACCGTAAAATGGGGTGAATAGAAACAAAAAAAGTAAAAGTTATTTGCAACGCTATAACAAATTAATGATACGCGTGATTTTCTGTGTAACACATACAAACTCGTTCCTGATATATAGGCAACTCATCATACACAAGCCGAAATAATTTCAATGTTACCGCAGTACATTGTGCATGCGCTAAACCACGTGCGTTGGTGTCTCTTTGTCTGTACTTCCATAAACTTGACTCCGTTTGTGCATAAGGGAAGAGGTAAGATACACATTATTAGCACCATGAAATGCCTTATGTTTGCTGTTTATGATATATAATTAACTTTAACTGTGCCTGATAAACTTTTTAATTTATTGACAAAAGTATGCAATAAGTTATAATTTAAGGTTAAAGTGGGGTGAAAAGAAACAGTGTTTCGATTCACCTTTACTGTTTCCATTCACCCCACAAATTGTTTTGTTATATAGTTGTTGCTTTCACTTTAGCATGAAAATGATATACGAGGTAGGTACCTAACCCCTTATTATTTTTAAATTACAGGATCATCAGTTGGATATGCCTCGAGTATATAAAAAAGATCCACGAGGAAAAGTTAATAAAAAAATAGATTCCGATGCGCTTGCTAGGGCGCTTCGCGATATAAAAGATGGGATGTCATATCGGACAGCAGCTTATACTTATGGAATATGTACATTATTCTGTATTATTTAGACATAAACATAATCCTGAAATTAGGAAAAAAGGAGGTCAAACTCAACTGAGTAAAACCGAAGAGAACGCATTGATTCAAGTTCTTGAAGTTTGTTCTGAATGGGGATATCCACTGGATCATTATGATCTCCGAAAGATTGTTAAACAATATTTAGACTCAAGAGGTAAGCGATTGCTCCGATTTAAAGATAACATGCCAGGAAGGGAATTTGCATTTTCCTTCATGAAAAGGCACAAAAATCGTCTCAGGGATCGTGTTTGCCAAAATATCAAGCGTTCTCGAGCAGCAGTGTCCTCTGTGATCTTGAATAATTATTTTAACAATTTAGAAAAAGAATTGGAGGGAGTGCCGCCATCACATACAGTTAATTTCGATGAAACTAACTTATCAGACGATCCCGGGCGGAAAAAAGTAATATCCAAGAGAGGTTGTCGGTATCCCGAAAGGATAATGAACACAAGTAAAAGTGCTACATCTATCATGTTCGCTGCTGCTGGTGACGGGAAATTACTTCCATGTTACGTGGTCTACAAGGCGCAAAATTTATATGACTCTTGGACAGTTGGGGGACCAAAAGGAACCAGATACAATAGAAGTAACAGCGGTTGGTTCGAGTCAGCCAGCTTTGAAGATTGGGTGGAGAAAATTGCAATTCCTTACCTTAAAAAATTGGATGGGAAAAAAATTTTGATAGGGGATAATTTATCCTCCCACTTCTCCCCAAAAACTATTAGACTTTGTATGGAATACAACATTCATTTTGTGTTTCTCCCACCCAATTCTACACACATGACGCAACCATTGGACGTAGCTTTTTTTCGCCCACTAAAAACTGCATGGGGAAATGTGCTATTATCTTGGAAAAAAGGAGAGGGACAAAAAAAATGCTCCATTCCAAAGGACAAGTTTCCCCATCTTTTGAAAAACCTACTCGAAGAAATTCATTCTTCTTCAGAAAGTAATATAAAGTCAGGATTCAGGAAATGTGGTGTGTGTCCTATAAATAGGCAAGAGGTATTGAGCCGACTTCCCGAGGATGTTGAAGAGGAAGATGTGACGAACATGTTAATGATACAGTTGTCTCATACCTAAAGTCGTTAAGGTATGGCGACGGAGCATCCGCGTGTCGAAACAAGAAGAAGAAAATTCAAATAGAAGCAGGTAAAAGTGTCTGGTGCAGATTGTGAGTCCAGTGAAAACGACAGTTCAAACATGTCAATAGAAGACAACGATGAAGGTAGTGACAATGAAACTGTCTTCGATGAGGAATATGAGGATCTGCAAATTGATACCCACACGGTTCCTAACAAGAACAGTACGGGTGAGAAAAATTCTCAGTTAAAGAAGAATGGAAAAACATTTGACAACGTCTTTCACATCGACGTGGAAAATATTGTGCCTGAAATGTGGCTTCTTGTAAGCTTTGCAATTGAAGGTTCAAAAAGCCAAAAATATAAATATTACGTAGGAAAAGTGCTGTCTTGTGAGGAAGGCGCAATTGAGGCTACCTTTTTGAGATCAAAAACCTCAAGTAAAACTGACAGAGAAATCTTTTTTTTTCCTTCTAACCCAGATGTGTGTACGTTCAGTCACGACCAAATTATTGGGCAGGTGTATCCGCTTCAAGAAACTGGTTTCAAACGAAGGGAGAATATTATTTTTGATATTAATATCCATTAAACTCATATGTTTTTATATTTAGGTACTTTAAAGAATGTTTAATGTTTAGTTTTTGTTAATAAATACATAATTTACATAAAGCTTTTGCATTTTTTTTTCAAACTGAAAAATTTACTTACCCTGTATATATTATTTCGGTTTTTAATATTTCTATTCACCTGTACTGTGTTTGGATAGCAATACATCTGATTTTTTCAATAGTGTTTCTATTCACCCCACTAAAATGACGAATAGAAATAAATAAAAAAAAAAATGATAACTCCATATTCATTTGCAATTTCAAAAATGTAAAATTCGGCATCTTT